AATTTGCTTAAAATAATATGTTATAAAATATAATATAAAAGTCCAAGTGTAATTTGTAATAAATTTATTGCTACACCAATATAACAAAAAAGTTATGTTCTCGTATGATGTAGATTAAATGATTAAGGACGTACTGTCTGACAGTCTCTGCAAAAAGTTTCCTGGAAATTAGATTAAGTTGTTACATGAGCGCGAAGAATCCTGACGCTGGTCAGGATGTTGAAATACTTTTTCCGATGCATTTCGAGATATATCCGACATTTAATGAGAGAACATATCTCACGAAAATTATTCAGAAATGATTTCTCTTATTGAACGAGTTATATTCCATGTGTCCGTCATTCCGATGAAAACGTATTCAAAGCGGATTTTTGTCTAGTTGGTATCCACGTGTTGGTATTGGAAGGACAGCTTCACACACACATTCAGTTGTGTGAATATATGTATATGCTTCGATATGCTTTTTTATTTCATATTTTCATATTTTCATATTTTGTGATGTAAGTGACAAGAAATATAGTTGTCTTTGTTGCGGCTTGAAAATGGAAGGCATTAGTGAGTTTTTCCGCTGCATTATGCATTTTTATTTCCGTAAAAATTGTTAGAGATTGGAAATGTGAAAAATTACCTTGAACGTTTCTTCGTCGGAAAAGCACAAAAGTTTTATCAGAGCAAAATTATAAAATTACGTGGAAAATGGAAAAAGATTATCGAACAGAATGGCGCAAATATTATCGATTAAAACTTTAATAAAAATAGAATGTATTTTAATTTTGTTTAAAACCTAATGAATACGTTAATATTTCTATTTTCCGTTTAAAAAAATTTCTTTTTCTTATGTTGTATATATTATATATAAAAATAACATATTTTTACTTTAACATCACTTTCTTATGGTTTATTTACTTTATTCTATATTATATATCTAACGTTTATATTTTTATTTTTACATTACAAAGAAGAAACTTTGCGTACATTATTTTGAATACTTTAAAATACATATATCTAAAAATTTTCCTCACATTTGTTAATTACTTTTTCTTTAATTAAAGATATGAATATTATATATTTCCACATAGCAGCACGATTTAAAATACTTTCAAGTAGTACGAGATGACGTTAAATAACATTTCAATAACGTATTACTGGCCTTAAAGATATTATTAATACATTATTTGACGTCATTATGTTTACTGAATATTTTGAAATGGTGTAACTTTTGATCCAGACTTTGAACCAATGTCAAATTGTTTGTGATCATTTCTAGATGCATTATATATTAATCTGTAATTCGTTCAAAAATTTTTCATTATTTTTGAGGTATAATACATCCTTAATTCAATGCAATATACTTGTTTCACAAATATAATTTATAAAATTGTAAAGTTTCCATCATCAATTGTTCAACGTTGTAGTAATTTTGAAAATTTACTTGGGGACCCAGATAAACAGCTGTATATTAATTTAGCAGCAACTTTACTAATTAATTTATGAAAAATGTAAAAGTTATGATTTATAAGTGATATAAGTTTATATGATATATAAGTATGATTTATATGACATTTATATTTATCACGTAGAATGGCTAAATAGAAATATGAAAAGATTTATCAAAATTTATTCCAAACAAAACATCATATAAAATGTAATGTAAAAATCTGTGTAAATTAATGAATTTATAATTGTATCAATATAACAAGGAATTTAAATTTTTACATGATGTAAGTTTTTTTATTTTATGATTAATTTAATAAAAATATATTTGTCTCATAAATATGATTAAAGAAGAAATTTGTAAAATTTTCGTCCATTGTCGTGATAATCATGAAAATCTACGTGCTATCGGTCTATCGGAAGAATTCTAACATTTGCAGGACGTTGGAACACTTTTTTCGAGATGTATCTGTCTAATGAGAGAACCTATCACACGAAAATTATTCAGAAACGATTTCTCTTATTGGATGACAGTTATATTCCACGCATCCATCATTCCGATGAAAACGTGTTCAAAGCTTTTCGCAAACGAGTGCACGATACCGGCGATAACAAAATCGGCACGCACACTCTTACGCCTCCCAAGAGTGCACGTGAGAATGTCGGGAACGAGCGTGGAAGATCCCACGTGAATTACTCGCAAAATTGACTGACAGAAGGAGGCTGATCCGGGCGGGAAACTGTGTAACACGAAAAATCACTCTCACGTCGCTTCCGAATTATCCCCTGTTCCGATGAAACTTACGACAAACATTCAATCCCGATGGCGAGGCCGAGCGAGTGTGGACTCAAGTTGAGTCGCAAGATGAATCAATCCGATGAAAATTCGGAAAAAAATCCACTGGCTCTGAGTCAGCCAATAATAAGAGAGTAACTTACTGCACGCTCAATCTCCTCGCGTTCGTGACTAATTAAGAAAACTCGCGCGAGGAAGTTGTGTAAGTTTAGATGCGATGTTATCAAGTGCAACATGATAACCGTATTATGTATATGTCAGGAGATATTTTATCAATAAAACTATCACGTAATAAAAAATATACTGTTTTAACTTTACATAATATAAAAAAAATTAGTATCTACTGAAAACTAATATACAAATTAATAATCATTGTTTCATGTATAAGCAACGATATGTGATTACATTAATTAAGAATTTGAGTCTTGAATTTCAACAATGTTATAGTTTTATTTGAAAATTATAATAATCTTATTAGAAGTACAATATGATTATTTCGATAATAATGATATCTTCTTCCGACATTTAAAATATTCTCAATGCAATATCTACTTTCCGTTCATGGAATATATTGATGCAAGTAATTTATCTTCGTCTATAACACTGATCTCACTTTAAGATTTACATGTCAAAAATAAAGATATTTCCAAAACAAAAATACTCTTGTTTCTTGTATATTAGATTGATGAAAACATTTGTTGATTTTCTCGTGACATAAGGACTGAATAAATAAATGAACAAGAGGGTCTTTTATCGAGCTAATAAATCAATTAACTATTCGTGGGCTTTAACGTACACAGAGACTCTCTAATTGTGCATTATCTTTTTCCAGGAACGACAAGCGCGGTATTGCTATTGAAATTCCATGTTTCTGGCACTTTTTCAAACGACGGTTCGCTCACACATCATCGCCCACATTTAAGAATATCGCTTTAATGCTGCTGCCAATCACCACTAAATGCGGAGTATTTATAATAAAAATTAAAACAAGCGCATGATGAAAATTAGCCGCATTAAACGGTCTACAATCTGCGCTTGTGTGTGCGACCAATTCGTTTCATCGCGTGTCGTCAAACTAATGGATGAATCTCGAGTCTTCTGTGAGTAGCTGCGGAAATTTCGCCTTAATTTTACTAATAAGTTCCTCAGGAGCGATTTCTTTTTCCCATCTAAATTAATCTTTGCAGAATAGACCGCCGGATGCGATCAAAAGACAAGTCCTTGACTTTTCGCGCTCGACTTTCGCACGCAAACGGTTGCTTCATGAAATCTTAATTTGCACTGTATCTCATATTTAACATTTAATATTCTATTTCGTGCTCCGACCTATTAAATATTTAATATTAAAATTAACCGCGATGACTCTTTCTCTTGGGTCTATCTCGAAACGTTGGCTTGAAAAGTCGGCTTCAAGTTTGTTAAAAAGTTCGCCGTTAAAATTGAGGTCAGTTGTTCCCGGCACTCCGTGTGTATGAACGCCGGTCAACAAGGAAAAACGCAACGTCTAGACTGTTATCGTGTTCCACCTTTTTACACGAACGTCGGCGAAGAGCCTGCTGGTGTCACTAAATTAATTCACTTTGGAAAATTGGATCGAGCGCGAGCGCGTGGAAATTTTTCTCAAATTTACATCCTCGAGGCGTAGCCGGGCCGAAACGAGAGAGCAGAGAGCGCGCATTTTGTTTGCCAAGCAAGCAGCCACTCGCTCGCGAGCCGCCCTCACTGATTATCCGACACGTGGATCGTATGGATTAATGGAAAGTCTCATTTTCCCGACGTGTTCCCGTGTCGCATTTCCCGTGTCACAATATATTTGTAGAAGTGACGGCTGTGCGAGCAATTGAGCTTTGCTCGGTCAACGCTCGACGTAGACATTCTCCCATATGGCGTGCATCGCGCAACTGGGATAAGTTGAAAATCATTATCCCCCGACTCGATATCCGCAGAAATAGAAGATATCACGTGTCTCTCGTCTATATCCCACAAATTCAGCCGTGAACGTTGAAAGCTACACGAACGTTGAAGCGCACATTTGCAATTTCGCGCACAAATACAGCGAGCGTAAGCGACCCGAGCATAAATCTACGCGCCCGGCTCTCACAAAAACGGTCTCCTATAAAATCTCCAGCGACGAAAAAGTCGGTTTTACCCTCGCCGCTTTTAACTACCGCTTTTTCCATCCCTTTCGCCCCGTGAAGGACACATAGAGAGCATTTCGCGATCCAGAGGAGGACAAAAGAGTTCGGTAACTTACGTGACCCGAACTTCCGTCTCGATAACAAGGAACGGAAATACGCTCGTGAATCACATCGCTCCGCCACATCGCCACCGAAATCACGACGACGACGACGACGCCGACGACAGCATTGACCATGACGCGACATTTCACGCTCTTACGAGCGACCAGATAGGAAACTGCGACTTTAAAGTTTACTGACGCGTGAAAAAATGGCTAAGACGGAACCGGATGTATACAGCAAATTCAAAAAATTACATTCCTGATTAAAAACTTCTTTTTCCATTAGTTTGTTATTATAATGTGTATATGATATAATTACGATGATAATTTAATGAAATAATATTTAATGTAACACCCACACACACACACAAACAAACAAACACATTACAACACGAAAATAATATTCAACGTGACACACATGCAGCATAGAATACAAAAAAGTTAGTAGCTTTCATTATTTTTCTCCGCAGTGATCGACATAATTGAAAAGCATTTTACAATGCAATGACTATATTTTGCAGGAATACTCACCGAACATGGTTCCAACGCTGTTGGCTATCGCCCCGGAAACGGCACCGTTCGCCAACGCGTCCAGGCAGGCGCTAAGGGCGCACGCACACGCACTCGTACCTATAAGGTACTCCAGCACCATGTTCCATCCAATAATGAATGCTATTAATTCGCCTACTGTCACGTAACTGTACATATAAGCACTGCCCGTCGTATGAGGCACTCGTACTCCAAACTCGGCGTAACACGCCCCTGTAATCAGACAAAAAACAAAAGTTATCCGTCACGACATGCGAACGTAACTCAGCAGCGGGATTAAGAATTACTCTTCAAGAGGATTCGTACTTTCTTTCTCTCTCGCATTTATAAGATTATTTTTGTTTTCTATGAATCAGATTTCATGAAATATTAGTAATATTGGAAACTAGTAACGAAACTATATAAAATAAAAATACAATAATATATAAAATAAAAATATAAAAAATATATAAGATAAAAAACAAAAAATGTATAAAAATATATAAAATAAAAACAAAAATGAATCTATAACCTTGCCATATCTTCGTCGTTAAATCTGGGTAGCGCAAAAAGTAAGAGAACATTGCAGAGAGGTAATATTGTTTAAAAAAAAAACAAAGATTTGTCATCAGCGATCCCAAAAACCCCGGAGTACCGAGTTTCATCCGAATCGAGCCACTTTTCGCATTTCCGTCCGCCATATTAAATCTGTCATTCTGAATTCCGAAAGTTTGAGTTCAGATTCGTAATCAGCGACCCCAAAAACTCCCAAATAACAAATTTCAAGTGAATCGTTTTTAAGGAAAAATGTATGTCTCAAAGAGTTAAAGAGTAATCCAGATTAAAAAATAATAAAAAATCAAAATTAAAGACAATGAAATAAAGGAGGAGAGATATTGAGAAAAGGAAGAAAAAAGATGTAAGATATGTGAAAGAAAGAGGAATCGTGGGAACATATTTTGGAAACATGCGTGGATTGGGAAGAAAAAGAGGAAAAGAGAGGGAGGGAAATAGAGAGAAATGAAATTATAAAGCAATCTTTCTTTTTACCCCAAAAAAGGCAAATAAATTTTATTACTACTACTCAAAATTAAAAGAATAATGTAAAAAGAATAATTAGAAATAAGGATAAGAAGTCTAATTAAAAATAAGGAAGAATAATTAGAAATAAAGAAATTTAAGAATAATAAGAATTGTTTCATTTATAAAATTTAATAAATTTATAAAATTTCATTATAAAATTTTCTGCACTCTGCTTATCCCTTCCGAGTGGAAATTTGCAGATAGCAAAGACAAATATTAAATATCTGACGTATTTGAGGTGAAAAATATTCATATCCAAAAATATCTAAAATAACTCATCTATCCGACTGAAAATTCGTATTTCGAAAGCGCATCGCACTGCTTTAAAGCACATTATGAAGCGCGATGCATTTCTACACGCACAGTGGCAAGGGAATATTACTCTCAAAGCCGATGATCATTATGCTCTGGTAACGTAACCGACTGATTAAACGTCGGTTGAACCTTTCAACGCAGATTACAGCAGCGGATAAATCTCGCGCCCGCGTCCGCGCCTATATAAACGCGATATAATCCGCTTACACCCGCTATCTTTTCAGACCGCCAGATGAACGCTGTCTCTCCAGTTTAACGATATTAACATATTGTTGGCGTGGGCAAGACTCGGTATGAATGTGAGCTGCTTTATATGCCTTGATTTCTCGCATCCCCGCTATCGACGTCGTTACCTTTGACGTCAGCCACCGCACTTGCCCCATTACTTCTATAGTCGGCCAGTTTACACAGACTGCGCTGGCGTAGCAAGATTAGAACACAACACCCGTTGCTGTTAAACTTGTCCGTATATGTCGCGTGTATTATCGTCCATGTAAGAGCCACTAAAGTTCAAAGAAAGAAAAGTCGGCGGAAAACGGAAAGGTGAAACACACACGTGCGCGCGCGCATACACACACACACACATACACACACGCACGCACACCTACACTCCCTCTCCCCTCCTTGCTCACTCTTTGTCTTTCTCTCTTTCCCTGCATTGCAGAAGCGTTTACTTTCATAACTATCGAACGGTAAAAAGCGAAAAGATCGTTTCGTGTAAGTTAAAGAATGCGATCTTGTTTCTTTAAACAACGATTATTTATAGCCGGGAGAATATGTAACGAAACAGTCGCGACCGAATCGCTAATGTGAGAAACTGGAAACTGTGCAGAAATCTCGACAACGCGTTACTTTCACATTGACTGCTTTCTACATAAAAATTTGTCATGATTTCCCTAAATACAGCATAGATTTCAATTAAAATAGCCAAACTTATCGCGAAGCGAGTAAATCTTTCTTTCGCAATCCGAGATCAAAACTCACGTAGAACATTTCTTAGAATCAAATTGGGATTCAGTTCAATTTCCCAAAATAATTATGAGCTCTGGTTAGAAGTATCATGTTTTTAATATGCGAATCTAAGTGGAGAGAAGCTTTCTTAATATTTTCCCTAACTTTTATTTTACAATAGACTTGCCCCAAAATTGATTGCCCACTGCAATATTGCTTCTCATTTTTGTCCCAAAAACATGAGTTCTTTGCATAGACTTATACATAGAATACATCTTCTTAGAGACTATATATAGAATACATTTTCTTAGAAAAATTTGAAGACAAGATTTGAAGGACAGCTATATTCTCCTCCTGCAATTCCCACAGCCATCTCATCTTTGTATAATTTGACTTTTGTTGTAGAACACTAAATGAAATATTCAGTAAAAATCTAGTTAAACAAGCTCTTCAAAAGTCTGTATTAACAGTATAATCTTTTCTGATCAGGTCTTTGCAGTCTTTTATGGAAATACTCAGTCTATACAGAGTGTGTGTGTCACTGTAACAACATTAAACTGTAACAACACTAAATTAAATATATTATTAGGCAAGTAATAGCAAAACGATGTTGGAGCGAATGTATTTTACTAAATGTTGGGAGGATAATAATATTTGACAGCGTATACGTAAGACATTTCAGACAGTCTTTGTAACATACGCGGTAAATTTATTTTCCATGTCAAACCAAACCTGAATCTCAATTTTTAATATTAATATTAATTAATCCCCCTAATTATCCTAAGAGAGATTATGCATTGTTTAATCTTAAATTATAGTTGCAAGAAATATTGTCTATCAAGAAATATCAGCGAATCGAACTTAGATCTCGTCCGTATAGAAAAAGCCGTACCAATTCGGCTACTGAAACCTCGACGATTCTCTTCACAACACAATGCCTATAAGTCTTATAATATCCACCTATATTATTATTTATATTAATTATTATGTGATCGGACAGAAAGAAAGTTCCAAATACAACTAAGTGGCACTAAAATGCAACAATAAAAATTTTAGAAACAATCTTTTTTTGTAAAAAAATCAAGGTCCCCTTCTTTCTTTATTTTTTTTACATTACACTTCTAACCAGAATCTATAATTATTTTCGGATTGAATTCCAATTAGAATTTAAGAAATATGTTTTATGTGAGAGTTCTGATTTCGGATTGAAAGATTTACTCGTGGAAAGACGCAAATTCGAAACATGCGCTAATGACGCTGTCGATTTCGCGATCGCGATTACCGAGCCAACGATCATTACGTTATGCCCGCCATCAGTCGACGACCTCACTTATTAACAATGCACAACAAATTAATTAAACGACACAGACCCACCGTATGTTCTGCCGTAGCTTTAATCCTACCATTAATTTGCGCGGCGTCCTCCTGAATATTAGCTTAATTAGAGCTTTGTGCGTTAATTAGATCGATAATTACTACTGAGAACCGTCGAGAGCGATCTAATGAGAAGATAATCAAGGAACATTATGCCTTTGTTCCAATCTTCATGTATACGTGACCGAATATATTTAAAAATTAATTCAATGCAATAAAGTGAATGTCAAATACATGCAAACGAAAGGATCGAGGAAGTTTAAAATGAATTAAAGGAAATTGGAGTAGCTAAAAATTCTGACCTGTAAAATTGCTTAAACCATCCATCAGCCCCTTTCAGTATCGAGTATGCAATTTGCAAGTCACGCGGTCACGATATCGACACGATTCGGTGATGCAGCGTAAGGATTATACTTCGCGAACTTCCTGTCGAGGTGTCGGGTAAAAGGATCGACAGCGAAACGAGCTTGATTGAAAGACGGTTCCCCTCGCCGTCTTTGCCGCCGACCTGGAATTCCGTATTTGCAATTTCGAGCGAAAACTCGAGTATCCGCCACGCCAACGAGGTTGTTTACAACAACGACGACGACGTTAGGGACTCCTATCACGCGCGATGAATCGTAAATTTCATTGACGAGTTCTCGCAACCGCACTTTGTGTAGATCGCCAATGTGGATGGTGGGCGAGCTGTTATCGATGCGACACCGTAGTATCGAACAATAAAGTAACGTAAGTACCTATTAGATAAAGTGAATTATTTGTGATGGCATTTACCTCAAAAAGAGCAAGAAAGAGAAAACAAGAGAGAAAGAGAGAGAGGTGGATGGAGAGAGAACAATTCATTGCTATAACGGTATACTTGGAAAATTTTATACAGCAATGAGAAGAACGTGATTCAATGATATGAGAGAAACGCGATTTAAATACGCAAACAATTTTGATTAAATAATATAACGTATTAATAGTATAGTTTACAAGATTTGTATTGAAAATATTAAAAAAAGTAAATGTATCCCACACTGATACATATATGTATATGCAGGGTGTCCCGCGTAAGACGGACCAAAAGAAACATATAAGTAGAACACATTAAAGTGAACAAATATTATATAGGCCATTTTTCAAACAACCACGTGAAATTTCGAGATATTAATTAAAATAGTTGAGCATATCAGAGCGCGGCGACACGGCAGGCGAGACATACGGCTCGCCGCGGCCGGCGAAGAAAATGGATGATTGCTCGCGGGCCTATCTTATAGGCCAGAGAGCTGGGCCGTTTGGCATACTGAAATGAGTAGCTCCGTGTGTGCGTCCGTGTACGTGTGCGTTCTTCCATTTTCTTCGCCGACCGCTGCGAGCCGTATGTTGCATCGCGCGTTCTAATTTGTCCAACTATTTTAATTAATATCTCGAAATTTTACGTTGTTTGAAAAATGACCTATACAATTTTTGTTCACTTTTATGTGTTCTACTTATATTTTTCTTTTGGTCCGTCTTACGCGGGACACCCT